AAACAAATTCGAGACTATGGAAGGCAGAATAGACACAGTTGATGACAAAGTTGGATTCAAGAAAGAGTTTCTGCAGTGGAGCAACAAATTGAAGAAAGAGTTTCTACCATCCAAGAACAAATCGAACATCAAATTAAAGACAGTGTTTCTGCTGCCGTCGCCAAAGAAGTTGACACCATAATGAAATACGCAGCGACAGCAGGAAGCAATTCGGATGGATTTATAATTTTTACCCATGCCTTCTTGTTCCTCTTTGAATCTATCTACTTATGATGGTAAGACTTCCTGGCAAGTTTATAAGACACAATTTTCTATAGGGGCAGATGAGATTCCCAAGCTAAGGCCTGTCATTCGCAGCTTCTCTGAGAGCTGACGCAGCGGATATCCTTCAGACTCTTTCCGAAAACCAAAGGCTAGATTTCGAAGTTTTATGCGGAGCGTTGGAGCTGCGCTTTGACGGGAAATGTGTAAAAGATTATAACAGGCGGAACTTGCCAAGGATGTTGAAAGGCTGTGTCATCTCGCCTTTTCGGAGTGCTTGACAGAAACAAGGGAAATCCTGTCGCTACAATACTTCATCGACGGCATCCGTGATCCTGAAATACAGAAAGCTCTGCGAATAGCGGATGTCAAGGACTTAAAATCCGCTCTAGTGCACGCCATGAAATTCGAGACAGCTCAGCAAGCAATACGTAGAGATCGCCACCCAGTCAGAGCTGTGCAAATCTACGAACCAGTGAATCAAGTGATGGCTCGTTTAGATGATTTAATCAGACAAATCAGTGCTTTGATACAGAAAGTAGTGGGAAGGAACTGAATCTAAAGTGTTGGAAATGTGGTGTTGAAGGCTACATACCAAAAAACTGCGGAACACCCCCGAGCACGAAAAATAAGACAAACTATTTAACCAGACAACTCAATGCCTTGAGACTGAATATTAGTGACAACAAACTGACCCTTAAGTGCTGGAACTGTGGTGCTGAAGGCCACATACCAAGGAGCTGCCCAGGCCATTTCCCAGCAATGACGCAGGAAACAAGTTAATGACCATATCACGGATCGGAGTTTGAACGACAGTGAAAAACCCCCTTTTTAAAGCACTCAAGATTTCTGCAGTGAGTGGCAACAGTAATGAACTATCAATCGATGGAGTTCCTTGCAATATGATCATTGACACAGGAGCTAATGTTACCATCATTCGGAAAGATTTAGCTCAACAAGATAAACTCATTTGGACGCCATCCTGTGTTGCCCTCCAGACTGCATCTGGTGATAAAGTCGACATAGATGGGGAGTTAAACGGGAACATCACGTTTGGAAGTGCCCCCTATTATCACACGGCGTATGTGGCAGATATATTACAGATTCTTGCATACTCAGATTGGACTTTTCAAGGAAATAGAATTTTTCCTTTCGGTATTTACCTATTAACGCAACTTGCCGATTTTTTTTTTACAGATGAAAATGTAAGAGCTATTTATCGGGTGCTAGTTTTTCATTCATTTTTAGAACGATTCCAATTATCGATATTTATCCTATGTCAGTAAACATTATCAAAATATGAAAAGGAAACATACTTTAGAAATTTAAAATAGAATTTGAATTAATGAATTAAAGATTACGAGATGCATAAAAAATTTACATTTTTCTTAACCTTTCTGGTAATTTTTTTGCGCTTTTCTTCTCCCAAAGTCCACAGCGATCTATTTTCGCATTGCTGCCTGTGACGGAACAGAAAAATCATACCCATGCCTTTTTTGGATTTCGAACCCAGTCCCTTTGGTACGGCGTTGAGAATCATCCTTTAATATCCGGACAGCATGTATTTTTAAAATAGACTATAAATGGAAGTTTTATACTAAGCTTTTACCAGTTATATTTCCTGTAATTTTTATGTTTGTTATACTAGCTCAACAGCCTGCTGTTTTATGTTATGGATGATTTGAAATGTGATGCTATTTTGTTATAACGTCTTTGTAAATCAATGGATCTTAAACTGTTTTTAGCATCAATTATTGCTAACACTTTCGGAGCGTTACTTTGCGATGGGGGTTGGAATCCTGGTACTCCGATGATGCACCGTTGTTATCATAAAAAAAAAAAAAAATTTAATTCGCAATTGTAGCGAAATGTTCGCCCCTTAGTGGCAAGATCACTTAAATAAAAGTAACGCTGAGCAGTTGGCGAACTGTTGCTAAAAACAATTTGAAAGCTGTTGATGTTAGTGCTGACATGACTCGGGTATGTAGTTGCTTGCTAGCATTGCCATCTATTAGCAGTAGTGCTGAATCGCGCGAGAGGGATTCGATCCTGGGTCTGTTTAAATGCGAGTCTAATTCTCTATCACTAGCGCAAAAGAGCTCCCATGCGCTTGTTTCAAGAATTCCAACTCTTAAAATTTTTGCGTGCGTTGAATTGTTTTCCAGATCGCTACACACACTTCCCTCCCGAATATTTCTGATGCGATATGAGGAGAAGTTCGGTTTGTGGGCGTGATTGCGAGCCCAGTGCTTTTTGATGTGATTGATTATTGCATTTGATGGGCGGTATATGGACATGTGCAGTTGTATCCGTTGATGTCTGGTGGAGATTGTTGAAAATCCCCGTTTGTTAGCATGTGTGTCGCCGGTAGGTTGTAGGGTGAAGTGTATGACGTAGTTTATCATTTGTCCTCAGTGGAGGGCAGTGTTTTTAGTTCTGGTCGCCAATGCTGCTATCACGCGGTGCGAGAGGCCTCGGCTATCTAGTAGGTTGCTCATGTCGCCATCTATTAGCACCAGTTGAGAAGTGCTGAAGCACACGAGTGGGATTCGATCCTGTTTCTGTTTTAATGCGAATCAAATTCTCTACCACTAAACGCAAAAGAGCTCCCATGCGCTTGGTTCAAGAATTCCAACTCTGAAGTTTTTGTGAGTTATTCTCGAGTTCGCTAGGATCGCTATTGTTTTCGCTCGAGATAGAATTAACTGTTATGTATCTCTTATTACTAAGAACATTAAGTGAATTAGAGTTTCAGAAAGCAGTGCTTCCTTTTACTCAGCATCTGGTGAAGACAATCAGTAAAACAAAATGAGTAGCATGTAGAAAATAAGACGAAAGTGGCCGCCATCAGTCAACAAAGAAGGTGAGTTTCTGGTGGAAGGTTCAATTCAATTAACTGAAGAGTCTCGTATGAGTAAAAAATGTTAAGGATGGAGAATGTCAGATGAATAATTTTGTTTTTCTCTGGGAAATTGAGAACGTCTAAGAGAGTCGATACAGTTGTTAGGATGAGTGAGAACAGAAGAAATTTCTGGCAAGTTTTTGAATGATTTCTTCTTTGAGTTCACGGTGGATATAGAAATTTGGAATGAACCATGGCGCAGTGATAATTGTGCTTCAAAAAGTTCCAAAAATACGTAACTAAGTTTTCATGAGCTTCCGAATCTAAAATGTATGTTAAGAAAGTCTTCCTTTAGATCTAATATTTTTGTTAGCTAAAAAGAGGAAGGACTTACAGTGCTATGGATTAGAAAGTCGGTTTCATCAAGTATGTAATGAAATATTCTAAGCAATTCACTTTTGGTAGTTATAACTGCTCGTACCGATTAGTATATTCCATATTAACTACTTATTATTTTATTATCCCAGTTTTCGATTTCTTAGTTTATAAATGTTTCCATTCGAGAGATAATAAATGTCAGTGTTAAACATTACATTGTTTTATTAACTTATTTCATTTTTGGAGTTTCAAGAAAGATATATAACGAATGTGTCATGAGTGTCCTGTTGACAGTCAGAAAACTTTGTGGGGCTCTCTAATTATTACAATTATGTTCCAAACTAATATAATATACCGGAATATAATATGCATCATTAATATATATCACTAAGATTTTTAGTACTGTTAAATAAATACTAGGAAATAAATACTAAAAAATCGCTAGGAATTTTAGTACTATTATATTTTCTCCCTCCTTTTAGCATGCCTTAGTAGTGTAACCGTAGCACACTCGGCGCGTATTCGAGAGGTCCAGGTTCCAGCGACAGCATTGCTCATTTTTTAACGTCTCCTGCAACAACAAAAAAACCTAATGATTCTGCAGTGACGCCCGATCTAAACCGTGGTGGACAATGATTCGTCACCACCAGAATTTAGCAACTGAATCCTTAAATCCTCAGTCGCCTTTTCAAAATGGGGAGTATGTAAGGTATTTTCTTCCTCCTTTCTGCATTGCTTCGTGGTGTAATAGTAGCACACTCAGCTCCTATTCGAGAGTTTCGAGTCCCAGGGAAGGCACTGTTCATTTTTTAGGTCTGAAGCTACCCCCCCCAAAAAAAAAATGCGTGTAGAAAAATCAGTACTTGAAAAACAAGCTGCATATTGATGTAAAATTTTAAACAGTATTTTAGCAGCTTATTCAAACGTGCACTTTTTTTTTTTTTTTTTTTTTTTTTTTTTTGTTATGATGCATTTCTTTATGACAATTGTTAACAATATAAAAAACTCTCAGCTCATATCATTTCGACTTCGCAGACGATTCTGAATCACCATCTATTGCGCATTATAATTTTCTTCGTCGACGGTTGGCGGGAGAGGATGCGCCCGAAACTAGCAGCGTAAAGTGCGCCCATATATCATACAATGGAGAAAGCACTTTGTGTTTCCATCTTCAGGCGCTTGTGCTTAACACATATTCAGTATTAGTGCAACGGAAGAAACCTTGTTTTCCTCTGTTAAAGCTCACTTCACTACAGGAAAAAGTAAGCAGTTGGACAAGGTAAGGTTAATTCCTGTTTCAATTCCATATCATATGCATCCATTAAATTCATCAATGTATTGTAGGATTTTATAATAGTTTGACTGTATATACGTCTCTATTTAACTTGTCATCTAGTATCATTAAAATTAAACAGTTAAAACATGATATTTAAGAATATCTTCCCATTTGTCGGAATAAAAAAATATTATTTTTTCATTTCTAACTGTAACCGATATGTACTTAAAAACGGCGGGCGTTGTCAGTTTCTATGAATTTTCGCTGATTCTATATTTAAATGTTTTGCCATTGCTGTACACTGATTCGTAGTTTCCGGAATGTGTCACTTTAAAAGTATCACTTATTTCTGTAGTAGATATTATTCATATCAAAGTAACAAAACATAACTTTGTTTGATGTGTACGTTATTGATATAACAAACATGTCGTTTTGCTGTGGAGAAACGAAGAGAGAATCGAGTGAAAAAAAGGCCAGAGAATGCACAGACATTTTATGTTTAGCCATATTTTGTATATTTTGGGGCCTGCTGATATTTATTGCTGCTTTTGCATTTGTAATCGGTGATCCTACACGTCTGGCATATGGGCAAGATAGTTTCGGTAACACTTGCGGAATGAAAAATGAAGAATTGGGTAATATGACGTTTTCGGGTATGGATATGACAGATCGGCCGTACCTGTTTTTCTTAAATATGACAAATTTACACCAGTCGCTAAAGATATGTGTCAAAGAATGTCCGAGGCATACACTCTACAATGAAAAAGATATTAGAGATTTTGAAATTACAACTGGTGCGCGGTTATGCCGTTACGATATTGCTCAGTTCATGGAAAGAAGTGCCTTGTATCCCACAATAAGAAACGAAACGATTGACAGATTCTTTTTACATGTTGAAGAAAAGAACGGACATTATGCCTGTCCTATTCCACCAGTTTATGGCACAAAGGCTCTTTTCAACCGCTGTATTCCTTTACCAGTAGCTAATCTAGCTGCTGATATAATGTATAGCATTTATGCTTATTTAAACAGTTTTGATACCATTCAGCAAGTTGTGAGTGATATCTATGCAGGAAGATATGAAATTCTTGGCATGATGGGTTTGGCTCTAATTTTATCTTTTGTGATGGCTTTTACAATTCATTGTTTGGCATCATTTGTTTCATGGATTATCATGATTGTGGCAAGTATAGCATCTGTTGCTGGAACGTGTGTTTTATGGTGGACTTACATTGACATTAAATGGCAGCTAGATTCTACACCTGGAAACCAATTATTATCAGAATCGGCTCAGAATGAAAGATCTTTTCTTGTATATTCCATACTGGCAACTATTTTTACGCTAATACTACTCCTGATTGTTCTTGTTTTGAGAAAAAGAGTTCACGTGGTGGTGAAACTTTTTGAAGAATCTGGCCGTTGCATCAGGAGTATGCCACTACTTTTGTTCCAACCATTATGGACATTTCTTGCTCTCATTCTGTTCTTTGTATACTGGGTGGGGGTGCTCGTTACATTAGCAACGGCTTACTATCCGGTGAAAAATGAAGTTCAGAACCCACTGCATCTTGCCTTACCTTCATCGTTACCAATGAACATTACAGAGACATTGGAAATTATGCCATCAGAGCAAGAAGAGCTATTAAATAAAGCATTTACTCTTGTCAGCTTTAAGGAAAGTTCTTGGGTACAGTATATGTGGTGGTACCACATTATTGCCTTAGTATGGACAAGTGAATTTATTTTAGGGTGTCAGCAAATGGTTATTGCGGGAGCAGTCGCAACGTGGTACTTCTCACGAGATAAAAGCAAAGTTTCGTGTCCTATCGGAAAATCGGCTTACCGTCTTTTCCTTTATCACTTGGGATCGGTTGCTTTGGGCTCTTTTTTAATTACTTTATTCAAGATTCCACGTATAGTTCTTACTTATGTAATAGGTAAAATGCGGAAACATCAAGAATTTAAGTGCGTGGCTTGGTGTTTAAAATGCTGCACCTGCTGCTTGTGGTGCATGGAAAAATGCATTCGGTATTTGAATCATAATGCTTATACTGTGATTGCAATACAGGGAGAAAGTTTTTGTCCTGCAGCTAGAGAAGCATTTGATATTTTGGTATCAAATGCCTTACAAGTGGCAACTATCAACAGTGTGGGGGATTTCATCCTTTTCTTAGGAAAGTGTGGTGTGACGGCAATTACCGCATTTGTTGGGGTACTTATAATGAAAAATAACTCTGAACTGCATTTTTATGCAGTGCCTGTACTTCTAATAAGTATATTTTCATATTTCATAGCACATTGTGCTCTCTCTGTGTACGAAATGGTCATCGATACATTATTTTTGTGTTGTTGTGAGGATATTTTAAGAAATGATGGTTCAAAAGAGAAACCTTATTTTGGTGGTAGTTTAGTTCGTTATTTGAAAGGAAATGAAGGCGGTCAGCCTTTACAACCGCTCAATAGAGTGGCAGGTGACGCATCGGAGACGGATTAGATAAGCTTGCAAGTGTACTTACTTTATTTTCCTGGATTTGTATATTTTCTTATAGAAAGAAGAGTATTATTTTGAGACTGCACAAGATTTTGTGATACTTGAATTGGTACTACTTTGGTAGACGGTTGCACGGATTTTTGGGCGATTTACGTTGGCACGATTTTTACAAATGTAAGCCATCTTGAAAAACGCTGTTTTCACGCATAATAAAGTATTCGAAACTTAAAAAAAATAAATATCATTAAAAGTAATGGATTAATTTTTTGTTTAAAATGTCGTTTTTTAAGATGGCAGGCAAGTGTAAATAAATACATTTACTATGAGTATAAAATAGTAAAGTAAGATTATTATTACTTTCATATAGCAAAGAAGAGAATAAAAACACCGCTATAAAAACATTGTGCCAACGTTTAATTAGATTAAAATATTACTGAAATTGAATATTGAATTAAAAACCATCATACCAACATTTAAAAGAATTAGAATATTATTAAATTCAAATAATTTAAAATATGTTATATAGAATATAGTTAACATTAAAACATATGGACAATAATTATCTCAGCAATTTTTAAAAATAGTGTATTAATTTTTTTAACAAAAATTGAAGTATACAATTATAAAGTGAAAGAAAAATACGTACTTACATTTTTTTTAATCATTTAACCTGTTGTTTATTGATAAGTATCACAAAAAAATCGGAATCATAATTTAGATAACATATTTGAAGGAATTCGAAGATATGAATTAAATTTTAAAACGGCGCGGAAATGCACAAATTTTCAGTAACCAATCAGGGAGCTGATTACATCTTGTTAATGCGCAAATATTCTATAACCAGAGAGCTTATTACATCATGCCTAGAATTAAAATTATTTAAAAATTCATACATAAAATAATTTTTTTAATGCAAAATTAAATTGTATTTTAATATTTAACAGCCATAAATAATGTTTAAAACATTACATTAAATTTATACATATTAAAACCAATTACTTTTAAAGTAAGGTGACGTCATTAATTACATCATCCACAGCATAAAATTTCATAAAACATGATAAACAATAAAATTTTTATTTCAAATAAAAATGCAAAATTAAATTGATTTTTATTATTTAGAAGCCATTAATAATATTAAAACACGGAATTTATGCACAATAAAACACGTTATTTTTAAAATAAAATGATAATAAAGTATCGGTTACCATAAATAACTTATCCAGCAATGGGTTTACCATAAGTTGTATTACTCGCCAAAATCCGTGCAACCGTCTACCAAAGTAGCACCCTTGAATTTTCCATTTTGATGTTCTCATCTGATTATTAATACGAAAAAAAAGGGTACTTCAGTATTAAAGTGGCTGCAGTGAATGCTTTTATGAGATTCGCTGATACTTAAAATTAATTTAACGAATATTAGAGAGTACTATAGCAACCTTCAAAATTAAAAACATTAATACAGGGAAATAAATAACTTATTTAAAAATTATTGATTATTCATGTTTAATATTAAATATGTATTTAGCTTTCTAGACATATGGTTAGCATTTTAAAAGAAAAATTTAAAATGAAAAATCTGAAAAAGTGATCGACACCTTAAAGAATCTGGGTAAAGTGCAGAATCGCCCACTTATTTGTTTGGCGCTTTTTACAAGAGTAAGAAGAATTGGATTTTTGTCAATTTTCTTTGACTTTTTAAGTGAAAATAGGTCAATATGTACATGCATAAAGTCAAGGGAGTATACAATGCCATTTTTGTGCAATTCTGGGATGTTTTTTTAAGTGAAAATAGATCGATATGCACATAGATACAGAGTATGTGCAGTTCTTAAAAATGCACTAAGCAGTGGGTGATTCTGCACTTTCCCCTAGAATCTAATACTGATTTTCAAATTGACGGAAAATTTAAAGTTGCCCACATTTTAAAGAGAAAATAATTAATAATAATCATAAAAAAATTAAGCTAAAATGCCAAGCATTTTAGAATAAAAAAGAAATATTTTATCAGTGCAAATATGCGATGAACATCATAATCAGAACTGTTTGAAAAACAAATCTGTTGCAGGTTAAAAATATGGAGATTATATGTACTAAGCTTGGTGACTAATGTTTAAATTGCGGAGGTGGCTGCTTTAATCTTGAAGTACTTGAAAACATTTATATCATAATGATTCACATGTAAACTTCACAGAAGCTTTAATCATATACTTTACTGATCAGTTGTTTTTCCGTCTAATAAATGATTGTGGATTAATTACACAGGAAGGAGAAAATTAAACAGACTTTTTTAATTTAAAGTTCCAATTTAAATTTTTTAAAAGATTTGGTGGCAGGGTAAAAAATATAGGAATACTGTTCTACATCATTTCTATCCCAGGAAAAGAATCTGCCAAAACTTGGTTGATTCCAAAGCTGGATTAACTATTATATAAAATAAATGCATGTTGAGACATCAAGGAAAGGGAACATCACAAAAAGTTTCCTGTTCGGGTTTTACCATGGAATGTATGGTGCAGCTAAACTAAAATTGCAAGAGAAATAATTGGGAGTGAAACAGACATAAATGTATGTGGGAGCATCAAAATCTTTTAAGTGCATAGGGCTTCTAAAAGTCTTGGTCCCGCCCTGGTTGGCTCACATGTGCATTGGCAAAATCAAATAATCCGATCCATCATTAATTTAATGTTCTAGTTATAGTATATTACCTAATACGGTATATATTTATATGCATTTTCTCGTGTGTACATTTTTAAGTGTTTGTTTCTGAATTTGAGTATTAGAGCATTGTTTAACAACTGTATTATACAAGATACTGCTGTTTAGATTCACACGAGAATTATTTTCATCTAGCAGTTTTAATATTAGTTCATTAAATTATTTTCCTTGCATAAATTTAAACTAAATTTATAGAAATATGAATTCTTTTAGTAATTCTGGACATTAAGTATACTAGAAACTTCATATCATTGTTTTGTGATGCTGTTTAGTTACTGAGGTTGTCAGAGTAGAAAGTAGCATTCAAGTGTCATATTTATAACCTTATCCGGAAAAGGACTATTGTAATTAATAAATTATAAAGCAATAGTTAAGATAGGGAACTGTAATATAGGATTTGTTCAATAATCGGTGAAAATGGTTTTATTGTATTATGTACTGCCAGATATAACATAGCATTTGTTCTGTGTTATCAAAACACGTTAAGGCTTTTGTGTGTTAGTATGTGTACTTGCTACATACTAACATACATAACTTGTATATTTTCCCCTCTTTTTTTTCTTCTTCTAAACTTTTGAAAATCAAGGCGGAAAACTACGCAATGTATCCTATTTCTGTGAAGGAAGAATTTAGTATATATAAATAATTAATATATTATGATATTACAGTATTCTGCATTTCAGAAAGGTTGGTTGTCATTATTTTCAGCACTATTCTTTTTGCTTATGACATACTTTTATATCAATTCATCCTTTAAATGTTTCTTTCATAAAACTTATGATGAAAAAGTTAAAAGAAAAATCACGCAAGGTGTTGCTGCGATAATGAATTTTGGTTAATGCATTCATTTTTGAATGAACACATTAATTTGTTGATTCAGTGGTAATATTTTAGGCATTCGTGTATTTTTCATATTTATGCAATAATGCTTCTACAGTTTCTGGCAGGTAACTTTTTCAGATAACCTAAATGGGCTACATTATTTGTAATAAGGCAAGTTTTATAATGTTACTTATGTATTAGCACAGCCACCTAAATTTTCACGTTGTGACAAACTCTGGTAACCATGTACATAACAGTTCTTCAGGCAACCATACTCTTAAATTCTTCAGCAAGCAACATCGCCATTTGCATATAGTATTCTTTTTGTAATGTTATAAGCAAATCCTGATTTTCCCTTAAACTGAATTTTAAAATACACACTTGTGGAATTTGCCGGCAGTGGAAGAAATTATGGTAAAATTTCTGCAGGAATAGAGTGTTTTGCTCTAAAATCACTAATGGGAAAAACAGTTTTGAATCTGATGTTAAAGTGATCATCGCAAAATTTCCACCATAATGAAAGAAATAAAAAATATGTTTTAAGTAGTATCATTCATTGATTTTGGGGCATATAAGTAATTAAAATATATGTGCAGTAATATTTATATAAGTAAAAGAAATGAATGATGGCTTATGCCCAATCATTCTTTTACATCTATACGAAATTGCTGAATTGCAACAAGGTGGTTGCATTAATATGTTAAATATTTACATATGTTTTTAAGATAACTCTATATGCTGATACTTTTTGCACCTTCTATAGATGAAACTGTTGAAAGACCTAAATTTAAAACTTTACACACTAGAGTCATGATTTATTTTTAATGGGCTATTTAATAATATTTGCATATTATTGTGTACAAATAAATTACATATTGTTGTGTATAAAAATAATTATTCCTCTTTAAAGTTTAACATTTTTATTAATTTTAATAGGTTATCTTCTAAGTTTATTCATTAATCGGAAAAAAATATCAAATTTGTAATGCAAAGGTTGTTGTCATAGGTGGTTAAATACATATTAAAAATTTATAATTAGAATATTAAGCATTTAAGAAAGATCATTACATAGTTTAAATTAAAATTTCTCCTGATCCCCCAGTTTTAGTCTGTCACATATTGTAATTTGTAGGAAGACTCCTAAATTTCAGTAATTGCTGAATGCTGTTATTCCTTCGACACATTTTTAAATTCCAGCAAATATGCTGGCTGCGTGGATAAAAGGAGCTAGTTTCCTTTAAAAAGATCTCCATGAAAGCATTCATTAGACAAAATAGCTCTCTCATGCTTTGCAATAATCCTATCCAATCTAAAAATTTCGGAATACAGAAATAATTAATTTTTGTTTTTATTGTTATTTATATACAAAAGGAAAATTTTGAAGAAAATAGGCAGACATTTGTCAACAAATCACCTAAATTTTAAGTTTAATATTATTCAAATTCTAAATTGTAGTTCTTTGAAGGCAGTTTATTTCAAAAATGAACTTATAAATTTGTATTTACATATTTAAATATTTTGCTTCTGAAATTTATAGATGTAAAAAAATGTGATTGTGTAAATATTTAATCATAGTTTTAAGACAAAACTCATTATAGCATGAACATAGTAGATTGAGAGATTCAGAATGTATAACTCCAAACTCTCCCAGTCTGTCAGTAGATCACGGAATCTCTCAGTTTTT